TGTGGATTCAGTATCAACGGAAAAGCATTAACTTTCACCTTAAACTTAACGCATTTATTTTAATCGAGCATTTAAAAACCCTGAACCCCCTGAGGTATGTGCTCGCAGAATGATGCCTCTATTTTGATTTTGACATTTGCTCTTCAGCTATCAAAATGGCGTCCAAGCCAGAGAAGCAACGCAAATTTTGCACACACATCGTGAAAATCTGAACTACTCGCACGTCGAGTGAGCGAAATCGTTAAAAGTGATCAAATCAACTGTCACCAACGTAATAAAAGTGTTCGGGGAAGCCTGGATCGGTGGAAAATCGAAAGCCGGAAGCCGCTGCGACGACAGAAAGAGCACAAGCTGAGAGTGTCGTCTACAACCGTGCATCAAGCTCAAACACGAGCCGGACTGCCCTATCGACATATAAGAAGGTAGCGACTTCAAATCGCGATGATAAACAAAATAAAACTGCTGGGGGCGACCCTGGCGTAGTGGTTAACATCCATACCTCTCACGCCAAAGTCACGAGTTCAAATCTCACCCGCGGACAAGTCACGAATGACCCAAGAGTAACACTAACAAGTGACTATAATAATAAAAAATAATAATCAATAAATAAAACTGCCAAAACACGATGCTGGAAGCTGTACAAGACGATGCTGGCGAAATTCGATTGCGTGGTAATGGACGACGAAATTGACTTAGGTAGACTTCAAACAGCTTCCAGGACAGGAGTTTTATGCGGCAACCGGAAGGGAAAAAGTTGACAGACATTTTCAAGAATATGAAACTGTCAAAGTTCGCATAGAAATATCTGGTTTGCAAGGCTATCTGTACCTGTGGCTTGAAAAGCTACATTTTCATAGCAACCGGAACCGTCAACCAGGAAATTTACGTGTACGAGTGTCTGGAAAAACAAAGTGGACGAGGTGGCTGTACATAAGATGGCAGGAGTTAAACGACAGGCCCGGCTGAATATTTTTTCTGTAAACGCCAAGCGTAAGCGGCCATGGATGTCATCTACGTTTTGAAGTGACAGAGACGCACTCTGTTTGGTTTCGGAGGTTAAATCATCACCAACTTTGGCAACAAAACGGCTCTTTTCAGGGCCACCAAGCTTATTACAGTAAAGAGTAGGAATAGAATTCATCTGCCTGTTTGTCCATATTCAGAACCAACGATTACACAAAATGTTCATGTAATCAAACTGGAAGCAGCGGTACAAATTATACACGGCGAATGAGATCGACCCACATTTGAGTTTAGTTATCTCAGAAATAAGAAATAAAGTGCAGGAACTCAGCGATGAGTAAATTTGCCTTATGTTTTCCCAGGTTTTTCCAGGATTTTGCAGGGAACAAATCCCGAATTTGAAAAAAGTAAAGATTGGATTCACTCAGTCTATTGGTACTACTCCGAGACTCTATACAATTTTCGTCAATTTCCTCATTTTCTGGCAGATTTTTTAGGTTTTCCACAGGAAACCATGAGACAAATTTACTCATCGCTGAGTTCCTACACTGAAACAAAGACCATAGTTAGAAATACTATTTTGCAGAAAACACTTATTTTCAGTATAACTACGCTTAATGTCGTTAAATCTACCATAATTTCAGTATAGTTGACTTAAAATATAATCAAATTTACTACCATTCTGTCAAAACTACTATGCTTATTAAATAGTAAAATTAAATGAATTTCGTTTCTGCACAAATCTATTGGTGGGAGTATTTAATTTAAACCATCAATATAGTATTTTTGCCAATGGATTTTGTTTCTGTGTGCACTTTTGGCGATTATGAGTGAACTAAACTCAAATTTGGGTCGTTCTCATTCGCCGTGTACGCAAAAGGAAAAGAGCCAGTGTTGCTACTTGATAGAAAACTACTCATAATGGGAAGAGTCTTTGTAGCTTTTATACCACTTGGTTGCACATCATTCTGCTTTAATCTGAAAAGATATAAAAGAGCGCTGCTGTATGGCATTAGCTCATTTTCGCTTCGGACGGCGTGGTGAACAGCAATAGCAGCAGTAGTAAGGTGGTGGCTGATCCACTCCTTCACACCTAACAAGCAACAATTGACTGGTCGTTTCAAAGGAGGAAAAGGTCTGGTAAAGGAGGTGCCAAGCGTCATCGCAAAGTTCTTCGAGATAACCGCCATGGGTCGTCTGGCTCGCCGTGGTGGTGTCAAACGTATCTCCGGTCTGATCTACGAGGTTTGCTGAAGGTGTTCCTGGAAAATGAGGTCCGTGATGCTGTTACCTACACTAAACACGGAAAGCGTAAGTGGCCATGGATGTTCTCTTCAATAAAACGGCCCTTTTCAGGGCCATCAAGCTTACATCAGTAAAGAGTTGGAATAAAATTTATCTGTGCTTGTTTGTCCATAATCAGGACCACGAACCCCCAACGACCACACAAAATGCTATCCAGAGTTGTAATCTTGTAACCAAATTTGGAAGCAGGGGTGCAAGTGATTTTGATTGATTCTCTTAATCAACTTTCTCTTTGAAAAAAAAAACTACAAATTTGGTACGCCTACAATTAAAAAACGGAAAGAGTTGAGATAATAGATAATTGAACAATTAAAAGAATTAAATCCTCTTCACATTTATTCCGTCCACTAGCGGTCCTACGTCAAGCTTCCGTTCGTGCCCCTAGGCACAGACCCTCCTACCTATTTAATAAAAAAAAAACTTAATTTACACGCATTTTTGCTTGACCAAATTTTGATCGTAACACCCTTTATAGAGATTAAGGTTGGGAGTACCTTTATGAAAGCATCTTAGATTTTTTTTAAAGGCCGCCAAAAACGAAAAAAAACGGAAAATTGCTAATTGGGAGTATTTTATTAAAAAAAATACAGGCTGGTATTGCATTAAAAAAAGTACATGATTTCAAACCCGTTTTGACGTAGGACTACGTCTGTGATTTCTATATGGGGGCACACTTTGTAAAAACCAAAAATGGAACCTGTAACGAATTTTTTTGGGCTTTAGTTTTGAGATTTTTAGCCGTAGGCTAGTTCATCTCGTAAGTAACGAAATTATGAAAGTTTTTGAACGTTAATAACTCAGTTGCCCCTGGACTGATTTTAATAGCTTGGTTGATTTTCAACAAGAAACTATTGAAAAGTGGTAAATGTCAAGCATTATCGAAAAGCATCGAAATAACTAACAAATTCACCAATTACGTACATGCATATGCTACTTCCTCAACACTGTCATCAGAGAATCGTTAGTAGACTAAACAAGTCGAAGTGACATTCGCCTCCGATCTTCGGGTGTGTGCGAATAAGAAGAATGCAATTGCGTAACATTTTGCACACTCATTGCAATATTCAGAACCACACGCCCCCAATGACCACACAAAATGCTCTCCAGAGTTGTAATCTATCTTGATACGTTTGTTGTTCTGGATGATAGAAGAGCATAGCAACAATAGGGCGAAATAGGTTAGTGGTCATCAAAAGAGGAAATCGATGAAGATAATTGACTTTCAGCCCCTTAATTCAGTCGTCGTCATAGCAATGAAAACTATAGCATAGTACCGCTTTTGGTTCTTGGGTTATACTTGCTGGTTGCAATTCTGCTGTTCGACATTTTCGAAGGACCACCAAAAAAACATGAAATCACACTATTTTCTAGGGATGCCTAAAACTTCGAACCACCTCCCCCCTAAATGCGTGACTTATTTTATGGATGGCCCCATAGCTGCTTTCTGTGGATGATTTTTGTTTGTTTATCATACAATTACAGTTTTCCTCCTTGTTTGAACAGCGGTTTACATGAACCGGTAATCGTTTATTTTCTATTCTAGTCATTAGTAGTTAGGTATTTTAACTCAAAACAAATATCTATTTGATCCATCTTCTTCTTCCTGGCTTTGACGATATTACACAAGGCATACTTCTTTGGATACTTTTACCCATTGTTTCTTCAAAGCCTTCCTTGAGACTGCAGGCAGGCTAGGAGGCACTTCTGAAAGCACTCGTCCCGGTAGATTTGCCCGTTGATGGTACTCGTCGTTATGTACGGCTGGCTCATCTTGCCGCACAGATGGCCAGCCAAATCAAAACAAAAAATTTTGGTAAAATTTATCCACCTTCTTCTTCCCTACCTCCTCAGGAACGGCCAACCGTGATGTGGCAACGTAAAATTCCTGCCCCGGCAACTGTTTTGTGTTCGCCTTTATGTACGTTTCGTCGTCCATCACGACGCACCTCGGTTTCGTCAGCCACTCCCGGTACAGCTTCCTGGCGCGCGTTTTGACCACCGTATTTTTTGTTTGTCGTTCCGGCTCGGTGCCTTCCGGACCTTGTAGACGTGGATGTCGGCACATTTCATTGTTTTTTGGACAAACCAGATGGAAACATCCGCCTTCTTCGCCACATCGCGGATCGAAAGATTCGGCCGATGCTTGAACAGACTCCGACTTCCTGGCCTTCATCGGGTCAGCTGTCTTTGGTTTTCTGCCGCAGCCTGCCCGCCGCTGGGTTGTCGGGATATCTGCCGTTGAATGATGGATTCCCCGGTGTTTCCCGATCCATCTGTGGGACGCAGTCGGATTTTCCACGACGGCGCACAAGATTTGCTCTTGCTCCGATGCCATCTCGATAACTACTTGACAGATTGTGATGAAATTCTGCCAGCGTTAACAGTACACTCTTAGCTACTTTCAGTCACACGCTAAAAAGTTACAAACTAATCAATGTGTCTCTCTTTTTTCGAGTACAGTCTTTATTCATAACTCAAATAAGAAGCAGGAGCCATGCAAGAAAGTTAATGAAGATCATGTGCCAAATAAAGTCTATTCATGACCACGCACTGAACAATTACAAGGGAGTAAATTTTCACCATAGGTTGACAGGTTTTTTAATTTGAATCCAAAATCCTACTTTTACAAATTTAAGGTTTAATTCTTCAGCAAAGTTGTAGATAACACGATTTTTAGTTACTTTTTTTTCACAAGAACCCAAGAGTCAACATCGTTTAAATCTTTTTTTCAGACCTTATCTCGCCCTACCTGGTGTGGGCCGCCGGAAGAAGTGCAGAATCAATTCGCTCAATGGCAACAGCTTGCCTATGTTCCATGTCGCAGGGAGTGGAAAATGCAATTGTAAGTATTAATAAAATATCTCGAACCCCATTTCCCTAGAGGCCTCAGCTAGTCTAGTCAGCTAAGGCATGGTATGAACAAGCTAAAGCTGGCGGGTTCGATTCCTGGTCAGGCCTAGAAAATCTTCCGAGTTTTTTCACCTTCCCTGGGCATGTAGCATCATTGTTCTTCCCACATAATATACAAATTAATGCATTGGTTGGCATAGAAAGCTCTTAATTTATAATTGTGCAAGTGCTTGAAAGAATACTAAGTTTAGAGTCGGCAAAACGCTGTCATAAGAAGCGTGAAAGCCAAGAAGAGGGAAAGATCCAATTTTTCTCTTATTAGAAAGTACGAGTGGACGCGGTATTATACTGCGAACAGCTGCCGTGTGGATTTCTCTCCCTGGTTGCTACATCAACTGATCTCTAGTGGGCACCTTCATTAAGTCCCGTTCGTTTCACTGTGAACGCATGACAACGTAGGACCGCACTGCTTGTCATACTGATGATGATGGTGGTGTTGACGGGCGTCGGTCGGTGGGTCGGTGGGTGTTTTGTGTTGCCACATTTTACATTATTGCATTTAACGCCCTCTTGTTTCACTCGCACTCATAGCCGTGCCGCGTAGACGGAAGATAGAAACGACGGACTTGCAATGTCACGAGGGGGGTTTCTGGAAAAAGCCAAAGCATTCCAAAGCGTGTCCTCCTAGTAAAAGGATAATGCGGTCTTGTTATGATATTTCCCTCGTTTCATTCTCTGTATGCATGTCTTTGGATGCTTGCCGGTTTGCCGATAGTTTTGCCGAGCCGGGTATAGCAGAGTGGCAGCAGCATTATTATGCTTTGGCTTTTGTCTTTTTCCCTATGGTTCGCGGGTGGATACTCTGAATGGGAGTTGCTTTTTTGTCGGTGCCGTTGGATAATGCTGCGGGTTGACGAAAACGATTATGATTGTTCACTGTTGCGGAATTACATTTTGCTTTCGTTAGGAGACCCTTCTCCGACTAGTGACCCTGCCTGTACCACCGTAGTATATAGGATAACGATGAGGAAACAGAGGCAAGCAGATGTTTGTGGCAATGTTTGGGGTTCTTTTTATTGGATTGTTAGGAAGTCGTTTGATCTTGTGCTGCATAGTTTCGCCGGGAGAAAATTGCTTAGTGTCGTCGTGGTTACATTTGCATGGAGGGTGTGTTTTTATTTTGGACTAATTCGGTGGCATATCTACGGTTATTGCTACTCTTCATAATGTTTTTAATCATCGTAAAAATGTGCATTTGTCCTTCTTTTTCCAGTTTGCTGCACTATTTCCCAAGGAACTGAAAACGCTTGCTGGTCTGATTGAGGATAACAGCATAGCGACACGTGCTTACGCTTTGCGAACGCTGCTAGCAATGGATGCGTTGGATTTTGAAAATCTGAAGCTAATTGCATTCGCGACCGTCGCTCGATTGGATGATCCTAGCAGTGAGGTGCGGGAAATGGCAGCCAGATGCTTGGGGCGGCTGCAGCTTGGGGCCGGTGGTAACGATGATGAATCAAGCTCTCGAGCCCGCTGGGAAGAGACGCTTAAACCGATTATCTCGACGATGTTTCTACACTTGGAAAATCCGGAACTGAAGCTGCGAGCTGCGATTCTAGGTAAGATGAAAAGCTATTTCGGTACGCATGATTTGTTACAGCTGTTACCATTCTTTCTTCTGTGAAAGGCTAACGTATCTTTTTGTTTCGATTCACTCTTTATGTTGCGGACACTCAGATGATGATGCTGATGGTCCCACCTCTTACCCCTACAAAGGTTTGAGCTGGACAATTTACCTTTAAGATAATTAAATATGACAATTTAACCGGGTTTGCAAACAACATCAAACTGGTTACAGTTACAGATAAAAATTCCCTCTAGAGTTAACAGTTGCTTCACTGCGATATAAATGTGGAAAAGCTTAGGCGTCCACCTCTTAGTTCGCCTTTTTGTCCACCTAAAATATTCAAAAGTATTACAAGCAATCAAGAGTTAATGAACAATCAACAAAGCATCCTATAACACTAGCAACCCCGCAATCTGATGCTATCATAACCATCCCAATGACGTGTTCATCTAGATAAAATTGATAAATAGCAGATTTTTAGCGATGGGCCCAATCTTAGATCCATAGGTCAACATTAGAGCCGTTTCCCCTAATTGATTTAAAATCAGATAGATGTCATCAAATTCCGCCTCCAAAATAGCTCCGGTTTGATCACTCGCGGTAATTTAAATAATTCTTACGCTTCTATTACATGTGGTATGCTCAATCGCGTTAGCTTTACGGAGCCGATAATTCATCGTTCATTGTTTGTAACAAAATTAACTTATTTCTATGTCTAGTAGGAGTTGGACCGAATACTCGCGGCTTACCCGATGTTCGAGGGGTACATTGCCGAAGGATAGGATCAGGGGAGGAGCTTGGGTGTGGGATTTCGTTGTCTCATCAGAGAGTTGTCGCCAGTATGAACGGTAGTGCGGTTCTAGATTCGTCTGGAGTTCGACCGGCTATGGTGACGGGATGACAAGACAAACAAAAACTTTTAAAGAGACTTTGACTATATATTTTAGTATTACTTCTACGTGAAGTCAACGATTTACATAGTTGAAGATGCTAATTTCAAATAACAGACTGTAGTGGTAATTTTTATACGATAGATGGAGTAGATGAAAGCATAGAGTTGATAGTTCCCTTAGAGTACGGCAGTGTGAAGATTGCATATAGATATTAGAATAGCGAGCTAGAACAACTTTTAAGGAAGGTACAAATCGGTTTTTTCATCTCTCTTTACCAAACTCCCCCTTTGGAGAGGGATGGTGAGGGGTGTCCCCCCCCCCCCGCCACCACTGGCAAAAAGAGATGAAAACCGACCCGCTCAAGTACCAACTGTGTGTTTGAAACAGACAGGAGCACATATCGTGGTAGGGGTAAACAATAGTTGCAATTTCCAAACCTACGACTGGATGCCTTCCTTCCAAATAACAACTGAAGTGCGGTAAAAATCGGTAGAACTGTTTCAAACACACAGTTGGTACTTGAGCGGGTCGGTTTTCATCTCTTTTTGCCAGTGGTGGCGGGGGGGGGGGAGGGGACACCCCTCACCATTCCTCTCCAAAGGGGGAGTTTGGTAAAGAGAGATGAAAAAACCGATTTGTACCTTCCTTAAAAGTTGTTCTAGCTCGCTATTCTAATATCTATATGCAATCTTCACACTGCCGTACTCTAACGGAACTATCAACTCTATGCTTTCATCTACTCCATCTATCATATAAAAATTACCACTACAGTCTGTTATTTGAAATTAGCATCTTCAACTTATAAAGAGAGACAAAAGACAAAGGAATTAAATTCTTATAGGTACTAGACATTTGCAGAAACACATAAATCGAGTGTACACGGGAAAAAATCCGTTCCGAAATTCTTCAACCTCAAGTCACGAATTTCGGAACAAGTCAATTTTTCATTTACGAATATACACCATGAATAATAATCATGGAATCGTGAACATTGTTCCACAAAATAATCGTAACGCCTGCGTTAGGGTGCACCGGGCACCGGTAATGGCAACAGAAGTCATAAAAACGTGAACTCTGTTTTGAAAATCATCATTTTTAGTTCGGGTAAACGTGATTTAAGTTCATGAGTTGTGCTTGATATCGTGAACCTGTTCTCGAAAACGGGAACATGGTTCACGGACTGTAAAATGTAGACATTAATATTATTTGCAATGTTTTGATCACTGATTGGTGCACCTAGCAATGGGCGATCTTGGATCGAATCACAAACGATCGATTCTTTTGGTTCGATTATTCGATTTTTTGAATCGATCTCAAACACGACAAAAATCGACTGGATCGATCCTTTTCATTCGATTTTTGTTTCGATCCATCATCAAAAAAAATCAGTGCATTTGCATTTGCAATTTAATATTGACCTGTACCTGGAGTCTTCAGCTCACGCTCGGGTAGTTGAAATTGTGTCTGAGCAGATCTATAGTACAAAAAGAGTATACGATGATTGCACACATCTGTCCCCCCACCCAAAACCAACCGGAGTCCAGTGGGATATTCATGACGAAATGGTAAAGAAAGTTATTAATCTACATCTACATTCACTTATTATGCCATATTTCAGGTTCATCAGTCCTCTGCTATGTCAGAACTGGATCGCCATGGGGGCATATCGGCAGAATTACAAAATTTCTTGCATCAGCCTGTTTTACCACGTTCTGTCGATCCTTTTCGAGCATGGTAGAAACACCGTAGTGTATATCCCCATGCTCGAGACTATTTATCAAGAATGGTAACAAGGGTTTCGTCAGAGAGGCTATTCTTCCAAACTGGTGGAACCACACAGAATCAATATCGGCTCAATGCAAAACGCATGGCTCAATTAGCTTTCTTGGGATCCCTCTCGGATGAGTTTTGGGATATCTGTATTAAGTACTTACCTGCTTGTACACTCCGACCATCTAATCGTTCTGTTTCACATGTTAATCTTTCGCTTTGGAGGCGAACCAGCCCAAGGCTGAAAGCCTCCCTAATAAAGATAAATTAATTAATTTAATTAAAGTTAATCTTTCGTTCTTTAAATCGTTCATTTAATACCAATAAAACGAATTTTATAACCTGTTAAATCGCTTGCCTAATCAAGAATCATGAGGAAAAACTTCCACATGTCAAATGAAATCAAAATAGTCATTTACTATATTTTCACGTAGACCATCCGTTAAAGAGTTCGATCCGCGGTACACGGTAAAGGCCACAAACGAAGTGACAGACGGAGCGGCTCGAAAACTTTGGTGACTAACCTGCTATTGCAATTTTTCAGTGTACCACATGGCAACACCACTATTACTGGATTGTAACACATGGCAACACTGCTACTGGATTGTACTAGCATTTTCCCCAAATTTACTAGAATGTTTTGGTTCTATCTCTTTCTTTCTACTCAAAACTGAAATGCATAAAAAAATGACAAAATGATACACTCTTTGCACACTGCCAAAGAATCATTGTACACAAAATCAACTTTGTTCAAATCAAAACAAAAAAACTAACCCATCTGGTTGATGATGGCACAAGCTTTTAAGAAAATTCTATTACAGCGAACCACATTATTTCAATTGATTTCTTCGCCAGTTAGTCGTCTGTCACTTCGTTTGTGGTAAAGACCGTAAAGTATGGAGGTGGTAGCATCATGGTTTGGAGCTGTTTTTCTTGGTATGGAGTAGGTTCCATTTTCCGTATTAATTCCATCATGACCAGATTTGAATACAAAGAAATCATGGAGGAGGTTATGCTCCCTTATGCAGAAGCGAACATGCCTCTTAAATGGCATTTTCAGCAAGACAATGATCCGAAACCCAATTCGGTTATTTCATGGCCTAGCCAATCTCCTGACATCAGCCCCATTGAAAATTTATGGAAAGGTTATCTGGTCAAGCATTTTTCAAATAAGGATCAACTAGGGACCACAGCTCAAAAAGAGTGCTATACCAAAGGAAACTTTATAGTGCTTGGTTGAGTCAATGCCAAGAAGATTGAACAAGGTTTTACTTAACAATAGAGGGCACAGCGGTTACTAAGTGTCATAAGTTTAATAAAACTCATGCGATTATTTTCAATCTTTCTATACTATAGTTTTATGCAACACACCTATTTCACTGACCAGGCATATTTTATATATGATTCTTATGAGTGAGTCATTTAATGTTTTAACGTTGAGTATTCTCGTGCAATCACTTAATTTTTATTACACTATCAAAGGCTTAACTTTAAAGTCGAATAAAATGAAGTTGAATGAACATAACCTAAAATGTTGCATTTATTTTCCGTACACCTATTTTAATGACCAGCAGTGATGTATGTTACACTCACAACACTGCGTACGTACTACACAATTTATTCCTAAATTATATCAATCATCACACTAAATGACTATTATAGGTGAAATGTCATAACAAGATAGCTTATGTAAACTCTAGACTGAACTTGGCTTAATTTGCACCAACTATGATCCGTTATATTTGAAACATTTTTGTGCCATTTTGAAAAATGAATCGATTCAAAAGATCGATTCAAAATAATCGATTCAAAATGATTGATTAAATCGGTGAATCGATTATTTTCAAAAAAATGAATTGATTCTTGTCCCAAAAAACGCCCAATGCTAGGTGCACCACCAGGATCAACCGTTAGCACCACCGAAAGGGCTACTACTGAAATACGACGACGAAAGATCAGAACCTGCCAAAGAGGCCATCGATACAGAAGAAGAAGCGGATGTAGGATAACTGTTGATCATCTTGATCTCTTATATCAGCTAGCGCCCAAATCACCGGCATTTGAGCCGCCTCCACTGTCCACTCCGAAGCTAGACGAAATTGTTGCTGTACCACGTAAAGCGGACGACCATTCGCCGTATTCATGTTTCATTGGCGAATTCAGCACTCGTTGATTTACCAATTCTACTGCCACCGGAATAGTCCATATCTAGCTGATATAAATGAACTCGCACCTTACCTACCAAACAGCTAGTCATAAACAACGACTGAAAATTACAGCGGCAACTCTGGTCTTGATCCAAATTCACAGTTGCAAGCATGAAATTACGCTTACGGGTTCATGGTTCGCGAAATCATTATTTCATTTTGTATTTGAAATAGCGTTACGATTATTTATTTGTTTCACTGAACTGGCGTGAACTATGTTCATGGATTTATGATTACATTCTTGAAAATCCGAATTAAGCGATCACGTTTACGGGAACAAAGTCATGAATTCAGATAAACTAGCAGTTCACGGAATCATGATTTTTTGTTCACGTTTTTTTTGCGTGTTTATAGCAGAGAACGCGGGTTGCCAACACATCTCTGATAGGAACATAGGGTTGTCTCCCTTGGGCCTCGAGGGTATTCAAAAGTCACTCTCTGGCGGCGTCATTATCCGTGCATTGCCAAACTGCGTGATCGATGTCATCGTGACCGTTTCCATACCGACAGATGTTGCTGTCCACGAGGTTTATTCTATGGAGATGTGCATCTAGCGAGTAGTGGTATAAACCTGTATGAGATCCTATATGTTAGTGTAGAGATTAGTGACGTTTAACGCACGCACACTTCTTCTTCTTCATTCCTTTATTTAACGTCGGTTTATGTTCCGCAATATAGTGCCAATCACTCTGTCTACGATGCAGGAAAGATTGTGTTTTGCTGAGGCTAGCTGCGAGCATGCTGAGTAGATAGAAAGAAATTGATGACGATTCTCAAGATTTCCTGCAAAAAGATGATACGCGATGCAAGTAGATGTGAGAAATGAAAGAAGATTTTTCGAAGATTGATTCGCTAGCGTGAGATTTTTGATAATCTAAAATTGAGATATAGATGTGTCGCCCCCGTCGTCCATTGATGACAATCGAATGTGCAGTGAGGCAACTTCCACACCTGCGTAGTACATACAGGGTGAAAGGTAATTCCTGTCAGTGTTTTTTAAGCAATTGTAGTATCAAATGGGTTAATCACATACATGTCTGCATATTTTTCTTTTAGAGTGTGTTCAAATGTCAACACGGCATGCAAGTTTGTTTTGAATTTTCATTCGTTTGATACTCGTGATAATCATGGACGAAGGGAACTCGTGATAAGCCTGTTTTTGAAGCATCATGGACCGTGTTCTATTTTGAAGACGCTGAAACCACACGGAATAAACGAAAGATTTATTTGGTGGTGGTGGAAAATCCCTCCCAGACCAGGCCGAAAACGCAGTGTCAGGACTCCGGAAGTTATCAAACGAGTGAGAGAGTGAATTCGGCGGAATCCTTGTAAGTCTGGGCGTAAGATGGCCAAAGAACTCGGAATGTGGCAGCCAACGATCAGGAGTATTTTGAAAGATGATCACGGATTGAATGCTTACAAAAAACAGCGGGTGCATGGTTTGACCGGAAAGCAAAAGATAGTTAGAGTCGAAAGATGTCGGAAACTGCTCAAACGGCACGGTGATTGCAAAATTCTGTTTTCGGATGAGAAAATGTTCCTGCTACAGGATCACCACAACCAGCTAAATGATCGGGTATATGCTGCATATCTTGCTGAACTTCCTCGTGACAAACTGGCTGTTCTAAGGTTCCAGAATGTTTCCAGGGTAATGGTTTGGGGATGTTTCCAAACCATTGAAAGTTCCATTGCTGTTCATTGAAACTGGTGTTAAAATGAACAGTAAATATTACATCGATAATGTTTTGAAGAACCACTTGCTTCCCTTCGTCCAAAAACATAAGAATGCACCATACTGCTTCCAACAAGACTCTGCACCGTCCCATCAGGCAAAAGTGTCACAGGCTTGGTGTGAGGCCAATTTCCCGGATTTCATTTCGTCGAAAGAGTGGCCTGCCTCCTCACGCGATTTGAATCCTCTCGACTTCTTTGCATTAGGCGAACTAGGGAATACCAAGGGACTAACCGTGGAAACTTTTAAGCAACGTTTGGTGAAAATATGGGACGAAATGCCTCAATATATCGTGCGTGCCAGCTGTAACGATTTTCAAAAATGGATGCGGCTCGTAATTAAAAGAAAGGGAGAAAGATTTGAATTGGACTAAGTTAAGACAAATGTTATAGATACACGAAACAGGAAATATACTGAAAATTAAATTTCACATCATCTTCTCATTTTTATGACCATATACTTTACTGACAGGTATTACCTTTCACCCTGTGTATCGCATCCATCAACATGGGCCGGGACCAATGGCTTTACTTCTCTTCCGAAGGAAGACGTGGCCAGAGATTGTTATGCCACAGAAAAATACCACCGACCTCGGCTGGGATTGAACCCAGACCCATTGGGGTGAGAAATAGTCACGCATAATTGTTAATAGCGCACTCCTTTGCTTGAGAGCCGCGTCGTAGTATAGGCACTGACGTTGGGTGCGATACTGGCGGGTTTTGCCGCAAATCACTCGTATTTTATTTTATTTTATTTTATTTATTTTTGCACTGATATATTTATTTGGGTTTGCAAGGGAAATATTTCATAAACTGCCCCCTTCTAGTTGCGTGACAAGTTTTCATTGTTGTTTTAATTGAAGTATTACTCCGGGAATAATGTTAAACACCATTTTGTACATGATATTTTAACTAACCTTATATGTGCTTCATTTTGATTTGGGATAAGTGTTTGAACTATGGCTCGAGATTTCCACTGTGACGTGCTTCTATTGTGACATACGCATACGTATTTTTGTGGTGCGACATAGTAGGAACGTGTGAGCGTAGTTGGAACAATTTAAATACAATTACAATTTCAAATACCCTTTCGTAGGCCATTCTTAAGCAACTTGCGGAAGGACTAAGGACAGTGGTCCGAAGTGATGGTACATATAACATATTCTTTTCATTCATTTCTTAACCACGTCGTAGGACGCTTACATAAAGGCACTGACATCAGGTGTGATGCCGGCAGGTTTTGCCGCAATTCACTCTTAAGTTGGACCATACTAGTTAGATTAAATAATGTATATTATATCTGTATTCCAAATACAATTTTTTTGTATTGCTTCATTTTCGAAAAGGATTAATGCTTCCATTATGGCTGTGTGTCCTGTTGGGTGTTCGGTTGTGGCATTTGGGAATACCATTTACCATGACCGGATGCGTAGGGGAAATAATTATAAATTGAATTTCAACCGTTTTCTTTAAAGCGATTGTAACGTCAAAATGTAGATTATATTTAATACAAAATCTTTAAATCTCGTTTCTCGAATGAACGCTCGTAAAGTAAGGTAGGCAAAAGTTTGACCTTAGTTGAAATATTAAAAATAAATAATTACCGACAAATTTCTGTTGCTTTCTATTTCAAACTATTCAAAATTATTTAATCAACCTGATCAAAACGCAAATGAAAGTCCTATATTCTCTCTTTGAGGGGTTTCCTCATCGCTAATTTCGTTTCCGCACGATTTCATTTTTTTTGTTTTTTTTTTTGTATCCGACAGAATCCCTCAGCCGATTGGTCGTCCATCATCGCTCGTTAATCAAAGGCCTGGCTAATGAAGTTGCAGTTGGATGTCCGTACAAGAAGGATCTGGATAATATCCTCTCTCATCAATAAATACTGCTTTGCTGGTGCCGCGAATCGTCGGCGTCGGCCATTCTCCCCGTCCCCGACCATCGTAGATTCTGGATTCCGAGCAAAACTACAAAGCGCACCATCCAGCAGCAACAACACCGACCGGCACCAGCACCATCAGGATAATTGATTCAAATCGTATTTCGTCGAGTGAATCTTTATCATCACTAGTCAGTAGCATCATCACTGGAGGGGAAGGAGGAGATTGAGGTTCGTTCTTTTCTCTTTGCTTGATTCCAACTATCGGTTTTCCTTCGCAAAGGCAGATGCTTTCCCGTTGTACAATAATCAAGCGATTCGGGACCAAATCCCCGCAAAAAAAAGGATCAATTGAACAGCATCAGGGTTGGATGGAAAATTGGTCCGCTCTGTTCTGAGATTTCCGATTCAGTTTTTCGTCCATTCAATGCTCATCAGCGAGCGCTGCAAGTCGAGGTAGAGTTGCATTTGATGCTTTCGACTTCAGTCGTCGCCGTTTCCGTCCGCTCGTAATTGCAATTATGAATTTTCTTTCTTTTATCATTCAATCGAGCGTGGAATTCAACTCCCAGCATCTTCTCCAGAGTGTAATGCATCAATAAACGTAATTTATTATTGGTTCATCTTCAATTTATCCATCTGGATGAGATGCTTTTTTTTCGCAGCTCCGATTTTCCCTTGATCAATCAAATTTTCTATCGATTGCGGATTGTGGCGACGGTGTTGGAGGTTCTGTTGAATGCTTTTCGGTGTCCCCATTTTTCGGTGATGTCGCATAATTTCATACTCGTTGTGCTATGAGGGGTTTCCACGCTATTTTTACGCATACCGTTTCCACTCCGGTCCAGTAGTGGGAGACAAAGCCAAAAAGCTTTTAACAGTTTTCCGCTTTTTCTTTTTTTTTTCCAGCGGGAAGGCGGGCGCTTGATGAAGCAGCATAGAAGAAAACTGTGGCACAAACAGTTGGGAGTAGCGCTCGCAGTAGGTATCCTGTGATGATGCGTGGGAGTAGGGAGTGATTTTTGCATTCGTGTTACTGCTGCTTTTTGCATCGTTTTTTTTCTGACTCGCGTTTTCTTCTAAAGTTCCGTCATAATTGAGTTATCTATCCATATTGTGCATGCTCTTAGGATCATAATGGAAGCAGCAGCGGTAATAGAATAGCGAGTAGCGAGCGTTAGTTGTATTTTTTTCATCCGTTTGCTGTGGGTGTGAAGGCGCTGCTGGATAGTGTTTTATAAGTGTGTGAAATTTACGGAAAAGATTCAATGAAAGGTAGATATAATTTTCGTAAAGTGTGTTTTTGAATTAATTGACTGAAGTTGTGAAGAAATTCCATGTACTTTTTGATGGGTGTATTTTTGCCGTAGCGATGTTGAGATGCATTGGTGCTTACACACTTAATCACCGTTTTTTCGGTATTTTTTGTACAATTTTCTAACTGTAGTAGAAGGAGGCGCATGATGAACAGGTGGGGCATAATGAGCATCCTTTACATTAGCATTACATATCTACTTGTTCAAAACAAACTAATCGGCAGTAGGTTCAATATCAATATGATACTTTGACTATATGTTTTAGTATTACTTCTACGTGAAGTCAACGATTTACATAGTTGAAGATGCTAATTTCAAATAACAGACTGTAGTGGTAATTTTTATACGATAGATGGAGTAGATGAAAGCATAGAGTTGATAGTTCCGTTAGATTACGGCAGTGTGAAGATTGCATATAGATATTAGAATAGCGAGCTAGAACAACTTTTAAGGAAGGTACAAATCGGTTTTTTCATCTCTCTTTACCAAACTCCCCCTTTGGAGAGGGATGGTGAGGGGTGTCCCCCCCGCCACCACTGGCAAAAAGAGATGAAAACCGACCCGCTCAAGTACCAACTGTGTGTTTGAAACAATTCTACCGATTTTTTACCGCACTTCAGTTGTTATTTGAAGGAAGGCATTCAGTCGTAGGTTTGGAAATTGCAACTATTGTGTACCCCTACCTCGATATGTGCTCCTGTCATCGTCGACTTGACGATCTCGAGGGGTAGGTGTTGCTACTGTACCTTTCGATACCATCAATTACTGTCAATGGTCGAAAGGTACAGTAGCAGCACCTACCCCACCCGTGTCCCCTCGAGATCGGCAAGTCGACGATGACAGGAGCACATATCGTGGTAGGGGTAAACAATAGTTGCAATTTCCAAACCTACGACTGGATGCCTTTCTTCAAATAACAACTGAAGTGCGGTAAAAAATCGGTAGAACTGTTTCAAACACACAGTTGGTACTTGAGCGGGACACCCCTCACCATCCCTCTCCAAAGGGGGAGTTTGGTAAAGAGAGATGAAAAAACCGATTTGTACCTTCCTTAAAAGTTGTTCTAGCTCGCTATTCTAATATCTATATGCAATCTTCACACTGCCGTAATCTAACGGAACTATCAACTCTATGCTTTCATCTACTCCATCTATCGTATAAAAATTACCACTACACTCTGTTATTTGAAATTAGCATCAATATGATATTGAACCTGCCACAAATTAATTTGTTTTGAACAATTGGAAATTTAAGGCTAAAGTAGAGGATGCTCATTATGATCCACCTGTTCACTATGCCCCTTAGACTGACGCAAAATTTTAAATTGGCGCTCCACAGCGCTCAAACGGTTCCATTTTTTTTTAAATTTACGTTTATTTGCTGGTTTTTAAAGTTTCAACATATGGTTTTACATTTCAATTGGTTAGCCTTTGGCTCGTCAACTTTGTTCTAGTTAATTGGTTTTTCTAATGTGATGATTGCTTTTAGGGCTTGTTTCCGTTTGAATTTAAAAATTTGATAACCTACCTACTTGAACTGGAAAGGTTCAGAGTCGCCTGTCTGCGATCAAACCACCCTTGCGCTGAACTGGCCGTCTTAACGTGCCGCAAGGGCTCAGTAAGGGTTCCTACTTGTAGAGACCTGAAGCTAAGTGCTAGTTCCACAGTGACAATATCACATCATTAAGTACTGACCCTTCATTTTGATGACTGTATGATTGCTGACATGATACCGATATGGGTTAGTGATGTGATATTGTTTATACAATCTGAGCAGTGCGTGGGGTCCTAGGTGATATTGATCGAGTCTCTTTATCGATTTGCTCCTTTGCTAAAAAACCGTTTCTTTTCGTGTTTTCCGAACTGTGTGCTGCAAATGGCTGAATATGTCTTTTCGTGGCCAAGGGGATTCAGGGGGGGGGGGGATCGATGATGAGAGTCTGTCGGTGTCGCTTGGGACCTTATGCAGTGTTCCGCTTGTATTTTCTTCTTCGTTTTATTGCTAATATTACCGTTTTCTCTTTTTCTCTTTTTGTTGTTTTCTATGTCACATTACAAACCATATCAAATGTATTACGGACCGAGCGCTCTTTCGGAAGCTGAGCGGACTTGTCATCTGGAAGGGGTGGGCACTATTCGACTTATCATCCCAACAATATGTGGTACGGTGGCACGATTTCTGGTATCCCTCCCCTTGGCTAGTTTTTGCACCTTGTTGTTGGTGGGCGGGCTTAATTTCATGCTAGTGGAGTGTTGGAGACGGTGGGTTTATGGTCGGCGTTGCTGGCTCATGCCGCGATAGAATGGCGTCATGGGCAGGCAATGGAGATTACTGAGCTTCCCCTCTCTGATAAACCACTGCATGAGAGAACCAAAGATCTAGTCTAGCAGTGATAGTATCACACTTGTTACTCCTTTAATTGAGAGCCGCGTCGTAGTACGCTTACGTATAGGCACTGACGTTGGGTGTGATACTGGCGGGTTTTGCCGCAAATCACTCTTATTTTATTTATTTTTACGCAGATAGATTCATTTGGGTTTGCAAGGGAATTATACTATTGAAATATTTCAGAAAGTGCCCAACAGTGCTCCTTCTATTTGCGTGACAAGCTTTCATTGTTGTTTTCATCGAATTATTACTCAGGAAACAATGTTAAACATCATTTTTGTACATGGTATTGTAACTAATCTTATATGTGCTTCATTTTGATTTGGGATAAGTGTTTGAACTATGGCTCGGAATTTCCACTGTGGTGTGCTTCTATTGTGACATACCCATATGTATTTTTGTGGTGCCACATAGTGGAAACGTGAGAGCGTAGTTGGAACATTTACCCTATACAATATACAATTTAAAATAAGCTTGGAAACTAACTTCAAAGTGAAGCATTTGAGTCACTTGAAGGTGTCATCTGGGACGAACAAAGATATAATTAATATATGTAAAAGCCAGAAGTACTTGAAACACGTTAAATTGTAGTTTAAAAGCATGGGTTATGATTGTGTAGGTAGATTAGAGATTTCAGTTATTTATTAAATAAACTTCAATTATAGAATTCAGAAAGATAATTAACATGAGAGATAGGACGCGGGGGGTCCGCTTAGGGAGGCGACTAGCCTATGAAGTTGTATAATAAATCTTCCTATTTAGTGTATTTGTTAATTACAGACAATGTCAATAGCGAAAGTCATATCTTCAACCAGGCGCTTACAAATAAGTGAAGTTTTAGGAAAGATGTGTTAAATATGTTGATAGGTTTGAAATAAGAATTAGGATTGTTCTGCTTTAGTTTTCGGTAAGGTATGATGTGTCAACAAAGCCCTTTTGAGCAAATTTTCAAACATCAAATTGATTGAGTGATTTATTGAAAGACATTGCGTTGCGAAAATTGACAAGTCATACATCTAACATAGTAGTAGTAGCAGTGTCGCATAATCTTATCACAATTGCTGCAAATAGTGCTGGAGGGGCCGGCAGGGCTGAATACGGATCAAAACTAACATAATTACTAACACTAAAATGATCCCGGAACTAACACTTATCCATTGCACTTTTAGTTATATATTAGTTTTATTTTTCTACTAAGTCATCTATGCTTCTTTCTATTGTTTGGATCAAGTACAACTAATACTAATCTACCTTTATGTATGTTTTACTCCCTTTTAACCCATTATCTTTATGAATGGCGAATCATATGACGTGAGACACGTACAAGCTGGAACTCAAAGAATTACTTCGAACAGGATGTCAAACAAATTCAGGACCAATCCAAATGAGACCAGAAACCAACAAGGCATCGGGGAGTTACATATTCTGGGAGAGGTATGTGATAAATAATCAAAAAGTGGTAAGTTAAAATCAGAGCCAAGGATCATGAGAGGTAATTGTCAATAATTCATTAATTAGTAGAAATCTCGATAACTTTTTCAAGGGAGCGTATCGGCTTTTGTAGGCGGTGCGTTTGGTCGTCGATTTGGCTTAACTGGTGGCTCGCCCACGCGGGCTGGCACTATCATCAGATAGGGGAAATTTTCCTCTACCTGCTGGTGGTGTTGATAAGCGTGTGCGAGCTGCCGGTTGCGCCGGATCGACGATCGGATGCATTGTTTGCAGGAGCTGGTGCTTCCCTTTGAAAAAGTAATCGAGAAATAACCATATTATCCTGTAATTGATATTACTATTTTTATATATCAATGAAATTAGTCATGACAGAGTAACAGATGGGGAAGGACAATAGACACAAGTTAACACAATAAACAAGACAAGTCGGGGTTAATACACAAGACAAAATGACAAAATAAGTGACGATAGAAGACAAGACTGGGACAAAAATCACCCTTAAAAAAAAAATGCGCAATTATATTATCAAAACTATTTGGATCAGCACAAAAACAACAGTGACCAAAAGGGCACCATAGCCTAGAAACGTCTGTGTGTTGATTTAAAATAGAGGCTCATAGAAGCAAAATTTATCAATAAAAGGGGTCCAGTGTAGAGTTTAAGCAAGTGCTGCCACTGGATCACTACAAAAAAAAAAAAAAAAAACAATATGTGGTACGGTGGCACGATTTCTGGTATCGTTCATGTATGGTGCTCCCCCCACCCTTTATTAGGGTCGCTGACGCTCATTGCACGCTCTTTCGTTCTCCGGCTGATTGAATGGATGACGGAGTTTGACGTCACACTCCTTCAGAAGTTTAGGCGGCGGGAGGGCGAGAGGGATGGCTGTTCAGTACACGGAGACAATTTTACAAATTTATTTCTAATAGGTAAATCACAGTTTAATACTCACTAATAATCTCTTACAATCTATTTTAATTTCTTTTACATTGATGGTGTGATGTAATCGATGCGCTATGTGACGAGAGCGCAAACAAAACGAGGCCATTTTTCAACGATACGATAATAACTTATGCGCTTTTCACACAA